CATTCATCCATCTATCTATTCATCCATCCATCCATCCATCTATTCATCCATCTATTCATTCATCTATTCATCCATCCACCCATCCATCATCCATCCATCCATCCATCCATCCATCATCCATCCATCCATCCATCCATCCATCCATCCATCCATCCACTCATCCATCCATCCATCCATCCATCCATCCATCCACTCATCCGTCCATCCATCCATCCATCCATCCATCCATCCATCCATCCATCCATCCATCCATCCATCCAATAAACTTGACTGACAAATTATGAGGAAGAAAAAAAAAACACAAAAACAGCCTGAACAGCACTGACTTTGGCACATTATGATTTTGCTTTTTTCGTAGCCCTTTACTTAATCTGTATTTTTTGTATTTTTTTGCATTTTGCTCTCTTTAATTTCCTGAGGGCGTCTTCCCAAGGGATCAATAAAGTAAAAGTCTAAGTCTAAGTCTAAGCTTTCATTTAGGAGTTTATTTAAATGGTTTGATTTGCTTTGGGGAATATTTTGAATCCAGCAACCAACACCTGTAACAACCATGATTTTTTTCATTTTTTTGACTGACAAATTATGAGGAAAAAAACACCCAAAAACAGCCTGAAAAGCATTGACTTTGTCACATTTGGAGTTTGCTCTTTCGGAGCCCTGTACTTAATCTGTATTTTTTGTATTTTTTTGCATTTTGCTCTTTTTAATTTTCTGAGGGCGTCTTCCCAAGGGATCAATAAAGTACAAGTCTAAGTCTAAGCTTTCATTTAGGAGTTTATTTCAATGGTTTGATTTGCTTTGGGGAATATTTTGAATCCAGCAACCAACACCTGTAACAACCCCCAAATTATGATTATTTTTTTCTATTTCTGGACTTAGTAACAACAATAATTTCCCTCTGGGAGGATTAAAGTATTTCTGATTGTGACTGTGATTCAGACGGTTGACTGAGAGCTGAAAGTGATCAGACAGAGAGCCCAAAATGCTTCAGATGTCTCAACACGGGGCGTTTAGTGAGAGCATGTCTTGGCCGGGTTTCAGCTCCTGTCTGCCATATGCTGCCACCAG